CGCACTCCTGGCCGTGCTGGCAGGCCACGTGCATGGGCGTGCGGCCCTCGCAGTCGGCCTCGTTGATGGAGGCGTTCTTCTCCAGCAGCAGCCGCGTGCTGCACTCGTCCCCATTCTGGGCCGCGAAGTGCAGGGCCGTCCACTGGTCCTCGTCCGTGGCGTTGACGCTGATCTTCCGGGCCAGCAGGAGCTCCACGACGCCCCGCACCCTCTTCTCCACGGCCAGGTGCAGCGGGGTGGAGCCCTTCCTGTTGGTCAGGTTGGGGTTGGCGTTGTTGAGGAGGAGCCACTTGACGCACTCCTCCTGCCCGGCCTCCACGGCCAGGTGCAGCAGGCTGGCGCCGCCCTCCAGCACCAGGTCCACGTCCTGCGGCTGCAGGATCTTCATCAGCCGGCTGGTGTCCCCGGTCACGATGGCATCCACCAGCTTCCTCTTCTGGACGTCGGTCGTGCCAAGATCTGCGGGGAAAGCGGGTGCGGGGGTCAGACGAGGCCGCTGCCCGCAGGCTGCTCGAAGCCGGGCTGCTGTCCTGATGCCGCCCACTCCTCCCCACGGCCTCCAGGTCGCCTGTTACCTGGAATTGCTTAAGTGTCGTGTTGTCCCTGCTGGTTTGATTTTAGATCTAGTGGGCAGACCCTGCGCAGGTCAATTAATGGCCCCAAGGGACTCATGTCGATTTGCAAAATGAACATCGTTCTAGCCACGCGGCTTAGACAAAGGATGTAAAACTCAGGCCCCCGCTGGCTGTCAGAAATGGCAGTGATTGCTAACAGAAAGGAGGGAGGGAGGGAGGGGGAAGGAAGGAGGCTGCGACAGTGAGGGAGCAACAGACCAGCCCCAACACCCACAAACCAGCACCCGGAGCAGGGGCAGGGGCAGGGAAAAGCACCTTCTAAAACAAAACCCCATCAAAATTAACATCAAAAGATAAGATGAGCTGAGACGCGCCCCTCCGACAGGCAGGTGTTCTAACCTCCGAGGATAACTCATTCATTATAACGCGTGGCCACAGTGAATGGGGAGCCCGTGAACAAGAAGTATGGGGGTGTTTACCCAGCACTAGGAAAGGGGCACAGGTCTGGCCTCCACAAGAGAGATCCAGGGTGTGGGGTTCGATTCGTCTGCTGGTCTGGCTGGATGCAACTCGGGGTTTTCCATGTGGAAACCTGAGGTCCGCCCCTGCACCAGTGCCGGCCCAGGTAAGACCCTCCTGCATGGCCAGGTGTGTGGCCCATCAATCCACACTAAGGGGCACCAGTTGGGCCAGCGCCCACCTCCGGATTTGGGCTCAGTGAGCCCACCATGCCACGGACACCCAGAACCAATCAGTGGCGGGAGGGAGAAAACAAAGAATTACTGTCAAGTCAGGAACCAGGACGCCTCATTCTTGCAGATGCTCAGGGACATCACCACAGCCTGCCCGCCGCCAGCCCCATAATCACGCTATTTCCCGGGGCACAGGGCCCCCACTCACCGCCCGTGGAAGGCTCCCGCTCGAAAGACAGGGACAAGGACCCTCTGGAGGAGAAGGCAGAATCGACCGAGGACACGCCCGACAGCCGCTTGCCGCTGTCCGCCGATGGGAGTTTGGATTCGGAGGAGCTGCGGCTGAGCTCGTCCGGGCCCTCGAGCGTCTGGGAGATGCCGGAGTCCAGCTGGGACAGCAGCTCGGAGAGGCTGTAGTCCTTGTCGAAGGCCGGGGCCGAGGCTCGCTTGAGGGGCGTGGACACAGGCGCCTGCAGGACGAGCACAGGGAGGTGGATGAGGCTCTGTCCGCCACCCCAGGGGGAAGGGGGAAGGGGGAAGGCAGAGGAGGGGAGGGGAAAATGCGGTCCTGGTTTGTCACACTGGGAACGTAACGCCTGCTGTCATACGCATGGCACCCTGGAGCCCAATGACACCGCACTGGCCCACTGGGTGGGAAGACCAGGTAAGGAAAGGCTGGCTTGACAAAAAAGCGGGAAGCCCAGCACTAGGCTACCCTGGACCCCATCCGCACAGGGGTATGGCACACAGCATTACTTGGACAAAAGGCGGAGGGCGGGCCTGTGGACAGGCTGCAACAGCATGAAGCTGGTTGCTGGGCCGTGTCCATCAGAACAGGTCAGTGCTGGTAAGAAACGAAGAAAAGAGGTGGGACTGGGGCTACCGGGACTGGGGCTCCCCTGCCCTCCCCACATTGTCTGCAACCTGCGACCTCTCCTTTGAGCTGTGCACGTCTGGCTTGGGGCCCGGTTTGGACAAGGGCGGGGCAGGGCCCAGCTACAGTGACAACGTTGTGACCCACCCTCTATAGCAGCAGTTGCCAACCTTTCGGACCCCGCGGACCACCAGTGGTCTGCGGACCACCGGTTGGCGACCGCTGCTCTATAGGGCCTCCTCTAACAGGGACGGAGGCAGATTTCTGGTGAGTGATCAAAGTCTGAGGCGACTCAGGACTCTTCCCCCATCGGGCCCATGTGACCCCAAACCCTCCCTCTTCTGGGAATTGCTCATCTGCTCTGAGCTGGTGTTTGGTGCGTGGAGTCACACCCACTTGTTGGATGCCTTTCTTTTCCTTGGGGGGTGGGGAGGGCCTGGCTGCCTCCCCGGGACACCTTTGCTCCCCAACCTCACGCACATGCTGTTCAGACAGTGGAAACACACACCATAAATGCTCACGTCACCCCAGCCTCACACCAATGGCCCGGGGTGCACTGCCCAAGAGCAGATAACACGCTGTAAGGTTAGTGATTACCAGGCTTCGCCTTACAGGTCTAGTGCCTGAGCGTACTCAGTGTGACCTACCCTTGGAGTTTCTTATCACCTTACATCACCCGTGTGGCACTCACAGAACAAATCATTCATGACAGGCAAACTCCAGAGCCCAGGTGCGCCCCCCCGCCCCCCCCAACAGGGCCTGGCAGGGCTGGTTCAAAGGACATCCACCTGGCGGCATTAGCTTTCCATGTCACTGTTCATTCGTAACCAGACAGGTGGTGGGGACGGGACACAGCCAGGCAGGAAACGTCTGGGGCCACCGAGCCTGCCAGGGGACCCGCCATCCTGTCCCTGGGCACAGGACTCCCGTGACCCACTGATGGGAGTGGGGCTCCCAGGGCAGGCTGGGCCGCAGAACGAGGGCACGAGGACCCAGGCTGGCGGCGGAGTTTGTGGAAAAGGGGCTGGGGTTGGAAAACTCAATCTCCACGCGGCACAAAGGCCACCCCGGGAGTCCCCGTACCTCCGTCTTGGGCTCCGGAGGGTCTTTTACATCCAGGTCCTGAGTTGCCTCTTTCACCTCATCGTCGGGTTTCTCACACAGGTCCTCCGTCTCCGAAGTGATTTCTTTGGGGGAGAAAACAAAGAAGGGCTCGTCACTTGGACAATGACCTCCGCATACGCTCCATACGAATGTGCCACCTCGAGGATGGAACAGGGACAAAAGAAGTGACGCCCCAAAGCACCCATAACTCAGGGACCCGGGCAGCACTGGTCTCTCCACGGCTGGCCCCAGCTGAGCTCACAGGTCACCACCATCCCCCACAGGGACCAAACCGAGGCCTCCCGTCAGCAACTTCTGCAGGTCTCACCTGACTCCAGCAGGAGTCAAGGTGTTCCAGATTCCCAAAGAAGCCCTCAGGAGTAGGGAGGGGAGAGTGCAAGCCCACCAGCACCCGGCACAGGAGCCCCCATTCGTGTGTCCCCCTGAGCTTTAAATGCAATGGTCGGTTTCAATTCCATCAGGATCTCTTCCCAACCAAACGACACACCCGTTCCATGGGGACAAGACCCCGAGAAAACGGCAAAGAAAGCCTCAGGCCGGAAGTCACACCAACCCTCAAAGAGGCATCGCAGTATGGGAACCTGAACTACCAAGCACAGGCTCCTCTGAGCAGCAGGCCCAGCCCTGGCTGCAGCGGGGGTGGGCGGCTAGAGCTGACCTTCCAGTTCCAGCTGCCCACCCCGGCCCTGTCACCGAGGGCCATGGGCAGGTGCCAGGACCAAGCCAATCCTGCAGGCCTTGCTGGGGACACCGTCTCTCACAGCCTCCTCCTCTGGCCCTCTCCCCAGCCCTGTCCTGGTCATCTCGCCTGGGTCACCAGCAGGTGGACCGAGCAGCCACACCTGGGAGCACTGCGCCGGCGCCGTCTCCGGTCTCACCTTGGAAGGTGGGCCGCTCGCGGGGGTCCCCGTGCCAGCATCTCTGCATGAGGCGCAGCAGGTGGCTGCAGGCCCGCGGCCTGGCTCTGCAGACGGGCGGCAGCTCCGGGCGGTGGCCCTTCACCACCTTCACCATGATGTGCAGGATGTTTTTCTCATCTGCAAGGGAAAGGCACACGAGTCAGGGCAGAGCTGGCCCCTTATCTCCGGAGGAGACACAGCTGAGGGGAAGCGCCGAGGGGCACGTCTGGCCTGGAGACCACTGATTCTTCCAAAAGCACAGGGCTTCCGTTAACCTTATGCTCACGGGGCACGCCTGTTCTCCCCGCCCAGGACTTAGAAACGACCTAGCAGCTCCCAGTGGGATCCTCATGCTGTAGCACAAGGGAAATCTTTCTGGGCAGCCAACGCAAAGGCAACCAGGTTCAAAGTATCTGACGAGACATGTTCCGAGCGGCCGTGCCCACCAGGGGAGGCACCCGTATCCATGCTGGGGTGGCACGGCCCAGCCCCCAGGTGCACCCACGTCTCCCTGGGATGACACCAGTCTTCCTGAATTCCAAGTCCTATCCCCAAGTGCAGACCCCTGGCTGGCCTTTGCATTGCTCAGGTCTGGGGTGTGCAAATAGGGGCCTTTCCCCCCAAAATTCATCACATGGGGCCCCACCTGTCCTCCTTTCCAACATCCTTCAGAGACACACCTGGGCTCATTAGCATATCATCACCATCATCATCATCCTGGTCATAGGCTGAGGGGACCCAGGGGACCCTCAGCGGGCCAGACTCCTTTCTCTGCTCAGCCTACACCACATTGTCCGTGAAGCTGGATTCCAAGAATCTTGCTCCCACCAGACCTCCCACCCCCGCAGCTCTCTGCTTTCCCACGGAGCGCAGGAGTCTGCGTCCGGGCAGATCAGCAGGTGTGGAAAATTGGCCCAAAGTCCCCGACCGCTGCTGGAATCCAGCTCTGATGTTTTGTTCCACTTCCCCGTTACATCTTGTGCAATAACTATCTCAGGTATCTACACATTATTTCCATGAGCACTCAGACTTCCAAAAACCCAACGTACACTAAACACCTGGAGGATGTCCTGCTCCCACGCAGATGGGAAGAGTCCACCAGACGCCTTCTGCTCCCGCACCTTGAACTCGCCTATCTACCAAGCAATAGAGCACGTGGGCCTGGCCTCGCGGTGTCAACATCAGGCACCTGGCCTTGGGTGTTGCGTCCACCAGATAACGTCATGCCAGACTAGCTCGCTGCCACGCAGACGTAATCCAGACCATGGACCTCACAGAGAAGGGGGGTTAGGAAACCGGGTGCCAGGTGGAAGGACAATATGGACAGAACCCTACAACGGCCTCATCTGCGTCTCAAGCAGCAAAGGCTCCAGGACCTGGGGCCCCCGGTTGACGGTGACCTGCATTTTTGGGTGTTACTGGTCAGGCCACAACATTACAAGTGGCCCAGATATGCTTACGGAGGAGAAGAAACTCTCCAACAAGGCAAAAAAGTGCCCGACTTTTACAGTAAGTGCAGTACCAGGTCGAGGCAGAAACCAGAACAGCGTCTGACTAAAGGGGGAGAAGTACTTCAGCTCTGGAGCGGGTGCTGGGGACCTGGGTCACCCATTCGTGTCAAAATCACTGGCATCGGGGGCCCAGCACTAGGAGTGGACTTTACATGAGCAAACTGTACACTTAAAAATGGTTAAGGTGGTCAATGTCACGTTATGTGTAACATAATTAAAATCACAATTAAAACTTAGAAAATGTAAAAAAGGAAAAGAACTGGCTGGGAGCAACCACAACAGGCCAATGCACAGGCAGAAAGCAGATTAGCAGGCACTGGAGGCTGGGGTGGGGGCGGTGGAGTGACTGCTTAATGGGCACAGGGTTCCTTTGGGGTGTGAGAATGTTCTGGAACTAGAGAGTAGTGGTGACTGTACAACACTGTGAATGCGCTAATAAATGCCACTGAACTGTGCACTTTAAATGGTTATAATGATCAATTTTATGTTTGTGTATTATATCACACACGCAAAAGAATTAGCTGAACAGAGCCCTCGGGTCTGTGCCTCTTCCTGTACATGAATGACACCTCAAGGACATTCCATGGGCACACAGGACCACCTGCCGTGGGTCTCGTGCCAACTTGGTGGGCAGAACAGAGCAGCCCCACCGTGGGCAGGTGGACCACAGACACGGCTAAAGCAGAGGAAGTGCCGCACGGCATGCCCGCCCCTGTCCCGGGGGAGACAGAGGCACAGCCCCCAAAGGTACGTCCACTCACCTGCAAATGGCTTCTTCTGCGTCAGCACGCCCCAGATCACGATGGCGAAGCTGGAGGGAAATCAGCAGGTTAGTGTCTGTGAATAGAGCAAAAGTGCTCACTCAAAGCAACACGTGTGAAGAAAGCCCCTCCGGCCTTCAAAACAGAGAGATGACACCAAAACGTTTCTCATGATTTTTTTTTAAACAGGCACATGATTGGGGCACGTGTCCCATTGGTGGCTCAGGTGTTAAACAATGGACCACACCTTGCCAGCGAAGCTGTAAGTTCCACCACCACTCGGGAACCCCGAAAAGGCTGCCACCGTCAGCTCGTGGGCAGAGGGGCCATGATGGCTGAGTTCACATGACCTCCCTCCAACACGGGGCGCCCCGTGCTGACTGCAGCTCTGGGCCTGGCATAACTTGCCCACTGAGAGTCCATCAAGGGCTGAGAAAGTGCACGGAAAACATGCTGGCAACCAGATGAGCCTTCCTGAGCCCTTCTTGGTTGCTGGAAATTATGTACAGGGTGTGGCAAAAGGTTTACAGTTGTGAGTCGGCAGAACAGTTTATTCTTGTATTATTATTTATTAATCATTGTATTATTTTCTATAAGAACAACAGTAAGCCTATTTTTGCCCCACCCTGTATACATAATATAGAAAATTACTGTGGATACACCAACAAATAGCTCAATCTGATAAATTTTTTTAAAATTCTATAATAATAAAAGCATAATATGCTAATTAGACTGGACAGCCAAACGACCTTCCGGGGATGTCCTTCCAGATGAAGCCGCAGTGGTGGGGGCGAGGCAGAGGCGGTTAGGGGCGATCAGGCAGGCAGGCGAGCAGTTAGGGGCTATCAGGCAGGCAGGCAAGTGGTTAGGGGCAATCAGGCAGGCAGGCAAGCAGTTAGGGGTGATCAGGCAGG